GGGCGGGGGGCGGTAGAGGCCTGGCGGCCCGGAGCCGTGGCCGTCGGGGCGGCTTAGCGCCGGGACAGGGCGGGGAAAAGGTGTCTGCCTGCCCTGAGGAGCAAGGGGCACAGCGGGCAGCGAGGAGGGAGCACGGCGGGGGTGCCTGAGGGAAGCCGAGGTGGCATGTGGCCTGTTGAAGGGCGTTAATAACTGCAGGAGAATGGGGAGTGGGTGAGGAAAGGGAATCGGTCTCCCCCAGTGAACTCCAGACACCCAAACAAACCGAGGAAAGGAGGGTCGTGGTGCTGTGGCTGAAGGCTGAACTAATTCCTAGAGGCACACGGGATGAAGTACGGTGTGCTCCCGAGGGCAAGAGGGTGGGTCCTGAGGGCATGGCAAAACAGGCAGTGGGTACTTGGGAGAGACCTCGTGAAAATCAGGTCACTGGCTTCCCTGGAGGTCCCTACGTCTTGCCTGACAAATCCCCTTTTGTTTTCATGCTCCGTTTTTGCTGTATATTTTGACATAGCGATAATTATTTATATGGTTCCCTCCTTTTAGGGGCTTCCCGAAACACCAATTGTGTGATGTGTGAGGGCTTGTCACTGCAGTGTGGTGACTGCGCCTGTTTAAAAGCTTGAATGCTCCTGATGAGCAGCGTGGGGTAGGGAATCATCATATCAGCCCCCTATACCATATATTTTCTCCCTTTTCACTAGAGCCTGGCTACTCTTATCCATACTGCCTCAAAAACATTAAGAGTGTGGCTGACAGTTCATGCCAAGGTCTCTGCTTTGAACATACAACTCATGTTTGGGGGAACTTGGAGACAGGGAAACAGTTGCCAAGAAGCTAAGGACCACCACCGACACTATCCCCTTCTGCTCCTTATGCTAGCTTGCTTCTGTGACCTGTCCTGATGTCTGAAAAGTCTGGAAAATTGATCAGACAATGATAAATAGTGTAAATAATTACTAGTTGTAGAAACTTGGCTTAGACATGAGGATTCTCTTTCAACTGCTAAACCTTGGGAGACAAATAAGAAAAAAAATAATGAAGAAAATCCTCCTTCAGCAAAGGCCACAAGATCAGAAGAATGCCAGGAGGAACTAGCCTCAGACAAATAGTGAAACAGGGGGAAAGGTAAAAGGAAAAGGGGGAGATTGTGACCACTGACTCTACTGAGGATCAGAAACACTTGGGGAGGAGGGGGAGTGTCCCAAGGAGTGTATGTGCTGATTTAAACACAATTAGCCAGTAGTGAATGTAGTATTAATTACTGACCAATAAATGTAAATGTGGGTGGGTTTCTGCTTATCCTTTAATGGTATAAATAGACTGTAGTTTGTATAAGGAGCTGAGCTAGCTTTGTGGGATATCACCTAGCTTCCAGCTTTGTGCAAATCTGTAATAAAGAAACAACTTGAGCCTGTGTGTGTTTTGGCTCTCTGCACACCAGGTGAAGAACCCAGATTTAGGACAACACTTTCTTAGAGCAGCATGCACCAGCATACATATTCAAAATGCAACAAAAATTCAAACTATATGCTTTCCATGTCAAAACCTTCCACTGAACACATACTTTTGCCTTGAGGGAGAGGACAAGAGAATGAATCATACATGACAGATGTCAGTCACATCACTTAATGCCTCACTAGAAGGCACTGGGATACTGCTACAATGTGGGTAAAGTGAGAGTCAGAATAGAATAAAACTGGAAGAGGAATTGAGACAGAAAGATCAAATCTAGCCAAGCTGGAATGTCACTGGGGCACTGGAGTCCAGAGCCTCTGCACTGCAAAATGGTCCTGGGGATATACAGTAACTGTGGACATTTTCTCTGTTAGCTGGCTGAAGTTAGGGAATGATTGAAGGTTTTCTTTGAAATGAATGCACTTTGGGACGGTGTTTTAAGAAAAACTCAGGAGGACCAGAAGAAGACAAAGGACACCTACTACCCTAACTCTGTAAGTCAGCACCAGTGCCACCAAGGTGTTGCTTCTTTGCTTTCTGTTTCAGTCTCCCCAGATAAATTTCTAAGGCTAGCGGTGATTTTGTGTTACCCTTTTAGAGTCACTGAGAGAAACCCCTCTAGTGCAGTTTAGGGACTTACCTGTTGGAAATTTTCTCAGAACCCACATATAGGGCACTCCTCATGAGTCCAGCCCGAGTGCCCAGAAATGCCATCTCAACACCTGCCTCAGTCTCCCTGTGGAACAGAAACACACAAGCAGAAGAAGAGAGTTCTTGGAAGAACCACCATCCTGGAGCCCTGCTCAAGGCTGCTCACATGAGCTGAAGTGAGGGAGAGGGACTGCAGAGACAGAATGGTTTTCTCAGGCATGGAGGGGACAGGGAGGCTAGCAGACTGATTTTAAAGCAGTAGTTTGATTCAGGCATGTGCATCTTTTTTGGCATTATACTAGACACTACAAACAAAAGGTGCCTCTCTGGAAATAATAAAGTAGAAAGTTGTTTACTGAAGTCAGCCTGTCCAGTCTCTTCCAGAGGTTTAACCTAGAGGCATCATCAACAGAAACAAGATCAAACTCCCTTTTCTTTGCTGCTGCTAAGGGAGCAAATTCCTTCCCACTTGGAATGGAACTTCTGCTACAGTCATATGGGAGGTCAAGTCAAACCACAGTGCTGCCATTCAGAGGGATAACTGATGGGTGTGGAAATAACTCACAATAGCTTTGAACTGAAATGTTCTCAAGTGCCCTGAGATACCAAATTCTGTCAACTGCTGAAGCAAATGCAGTGCATCTGAACTAGGTGCTGCAAAGAACCGGTGCTGAATGACCCTTATAGTGACACATTTGGATCATTGCTGTCCTCCACTGATATTCAGACAAACTCACCAAACTAAAGGCTACTCTGAGAAGGCCCAACCTTCTAGGCAGCTACTGAGAGACACTTTTTGAGTTATTTCTAAAACTATTCAACTATTTCTATCAGCTTTTTGAGCTATTTCAAATGTTTCTTATATGCTGTGTATGGATCTGTGACTCTTTCAGGCACTGCATAAGCCCATAGCATCTGGAGATGCATCTTCAATGGTGTTTTACTCATATTTATTTCTCATGGACTTACATGGACATATTGAGGGCTAGTGTTGTCCAGTAGGCCTCCATGGGTGCAGTGACCACTGCATCAAACAGCACTTCCTGGACCAACTCCTCATCACCTAAGAAGTGGAGAACAAGAATCAGGAGAGAAAGATATGTCCCTTCCTAGATGTCTTGGAGAGTAGAGAGAGAACAAGAATCAGGAGAGAAAGATATGTCCTTTCCTAGATGTCTTGGAGAGTTCCTTATAACGGAGTGTCTGCCTGGCCCAGGGTAGTGAAGCAACACGTCATGAAAAGAGGCTGCCCCTTCCAGGGCAGAGAGCAGGACATACAAGCCTGGATGATGGAGATCACAAGAACAAAGGTTACATTTAGGATTGGTAGACTGTTTCCCCTGAAGACTTTGTGGAAAAGTCTGTGTTCGAAAGTGTGGGCAAGCAAGAGGCTTTCAAACGAAGTCACTCAATTAGACCTTCACTCCAACCTCCTGCTTAACTGAACAGGTTGTCCACAACTATTGCTTCAAATCCCTGCTTTGACTTTTCCTCTAGGTGCCCTGTAGAAGGACACCAAACACCCCATTCCACTGAAGAAGAGTCTTGAAAGCCTGTAGTGACTTCTTCATGGCTTCTACTCTGTCCTTGTGTTCATTGTCTCCTCTCTTTCTTCTCTGTCCTTCCTGTAAATCTCACAAAATGCTGTCCTGTCCTGATTGCCCCAGGTACTCAAGCCAGTTGAGGCTCCCAGTCTAATCCAGCCTGGATTTGGACTGAGATGTGTTTAGGAGGGTTTGCATATGCCATGGGCTAAATGGCATAATCTCTAAGATCCCATTTAGTTGACCTGCTTCATTCCTGTATTGCCCTGCTGCATTGGTTTTGTGCTGTGCGAATGGGGTGGCTCACACTGCAGATATGCCTCTTTCAGTACAGCTCTAGGTGGAGGTGTCCGCCCCATTTCAGTGTTTCTGTCTTCACTTACTAGGCTGAGGTCCCAGGTCTCCCCTAATTTTTCTCCCAACTTTCTTTCTCCTTTCTTTGTTACAGTTGTCAGAATCCATTTCTATATCCTTGCTGTCATTCAGACCTCAACATCAGAGCTTACCAGCAGATTGTTCCCTCCCCAGGCCCCACATATCTAAAATGCATGCAAATCCTATTTCTTTTTCCTCCACAACACTTCCAAATCTTCATCTTTCTCACAGTCAGCTCTCCTGAAACTTTTCCCCTCCCTGGCCTCTTCAACTCATACATCTCCTCTTTTCAGCCTCCTCCAAAGACAGCGAGATGTCTGCTCACACAGTGCAAGAGAGGAACAACTATCGGATTACATTTGGTTTTAGTTTTAAGTGATTGTTGTCCTTGTGCTAAAGGTTTGTGCCTCTCAGGTGAAGCATTACATGCCAAACCTTGCATTTGTGTCCTGGTTTCAGTTAGAAGAAATTCTGTTCAGTGATTTTATTTTTCAGCTAAGTCTCTTGTAAGTGACTGCACTTTTTGAAGTTAACAGCATAATTTCACAGACAGTGTCTGCATCTAGTAGTGATAAAGCTCGATGTTTATAGTTTCTGTTAAGGATTGGCATGCAGAAAGGCTCTTGCTTATACTCGCTTCTGTGGAGACCAAGGTCACTGCTAAATCTTGTGTACCACATTGGTGGTGCAGAAAGAGGTCAAACCTGTGGGGAGGAGCAGACAAGACAGGTGGCCCCAAACTGACCAATGAGGTATTCCTTCACACATATATATATATATCTATCTCTATATATCTCATATTCAGTATAAAGCTGAGAGATCACAAGGGTTAAGTTCTCTTCTTCAGTGACTGGCATCCAAGGGGGACTCTGTCCTGCCTTTGATCCTGATCTATGTGCTCCTGATTTGAGTTCTAGAATCTAGCTTCTGAAGCTGGTTCCCCTCTGCTGCTCAGTTCAGTCTAGGACTTCTCCAGTGCCTGCCCACAGCATCAGTGGTGACAATGACATCATTGCCATCAGGGTGGTTGGGTTCAATATTGATTTGTATATAGTTGTATATATTTCATTCTATTATAATTTATTTTATTTTGTGTATTTATTTTCATTAAAGCTGTATTAGTTTTATTTTCTGATCTG